GCCCTCCTCACCTGCAGTGATGCACCTGGGCAGTGTAAAAAGAAGAGAGGCTTCTTCTTCAAGGGGAAAAACCTCTTCAAAAGACTTGGGTCCAATAAGAAAAACTAACAAGGGGTTTGTTTATTCCATCCAGGCTGCCCACAGAGCCCTAGAGACTGAGAGTTCAGGAGAAGCCCTCTGCAATAAGCTGATTATTTTCATAGGGAAGAAGTATGTGTTGAATAGAGAAAACTCTGGAGGGTGTGGGAGCTGAGAGCCCCTGGGGAAAAAGTGTGAGGTGTGAGAGCTCAGCTCCGGGATCCAGCATGTCCTGCTCCATGCAGCCCTCGGTGCACTGGTTCCCTGTAAATATTTTAATTTAACAATTATATTCTGGCTGTAAGTTAGCTAACTGGCTTTTCCCAGCAAAGCCCCGGCCCCTTAGGAGAGATCCCATGTACTCCACACCTTGGTATTTCTCTGCTCCAAAGGAGGTCGTGTCAACTCCTTCAATTCCTGCAAAGAAAATTTGCACTTTTCTGTTTCCTGTGACTTCCCTTTGCTGTCTCTGGGCTGATGAGTGAGTTCTTATTTGTACTGTAACCCTGTAAATACGCAGCTGTGCCTCGGAGCATCCCACACTGCCTCAGTCAGCTTCCAGCACGAGGATCCCCGGGGAGGAAGGAGCCCTGGCGGGGTCGGTTCTTCAGCGTGGGGGTGGGCTGCTATCAGCTGCTCTTGCCTGGTTCACCTTGACTACGCTGGGGACTCCGCCTTATGATTTATTTATCGATTTATTTATCAATTGATTTATTTATCTACCTATTTATTTATTTATTTATTTGTCCGTCTGCCTCTCTTCACGGTTCTGTTCAGCTGTGTCTGTGAGCTGCTCCCAAGCCAGAGTGTTGGGAGAGCAGTGCTGGGGCTGGGCAGCTTGCACTGTTTTTGTAGGAGATGATGTGTTCCTGCAGTTGAGATGCAGCCCTGTCCGAGCATGGAGGATTTTGTATGCCATGGTTTCTGTCCCTCCCCGTGTTTCTTTCTCTGCATGTTCCAGTGGGTCCTTGTTCTGAGCAGGGCAGTTCCATGAGCTCTGTGAGTGGTGCCAGCACAGCGGCCATGAGTGGTGGTGGTATGGTATGTTTTTATTTAATATCAAATTTTATTATAATAAAGTCTATTTTCACAAAAATACATTTTCCTTAAAAAAGCCAAAGATTCAGTGATGCTTATTCAAGGGGATGGGTGGGGAAATTATACCAACCACATACACTTTGAGGGTGTTCTGCACCTTCTGTGTCCCTTTCTCAGAGGGACAGATGTGGCTGTGGATGCTCCAGGTGTGAGGTGACGGCAGGGGCTGAGGTGGCAGCCCTGGGCATGCAGGACACCAGGGAGGGCTGTGGGCATGAGGCTGCCCAGAGTGCCTAGGCTGGACCCCTGCACTCCCAGCTTCACTGCTGTGTGAGGGTTGGGTCGGGGATGTGGTCCTGCACCTGGAGCCTCTGGGAATCCAGCCAAGGTGCCAGAAGTCACTCTGGGATTTTGGGGGGATTCTGCAGGATTCCCCTGACAGGAAGGACTTGTTTGGGAAGCTGCTGCTCCCTACAGAGAAGTACACCATGAGGATCTTGATACCACAGTAAGGCACGGTGTCCTGTGGTGGATGGGAGTCAGGGCAAGGACAGACCAGAGGCTTTGAAGGATGAATTGCTGCAGCTCTGCTGGAGTTCCCATGGCTTCTGGAGCAGCCTCAGTGATGAAACTCATCAGCAACCCAGAGCTTTATCTGCAGCCTGTCCTCCCGTGGAGGAAGTCGTTGCTGTTCTAACTGAATTTACCAACTGGAGTTTCTTAAGTGAGTTGTTGGTCTTTTGAAAGAAACTGTCATTGCTTTTATCCGTTCTTCAGGGGATGAATTGAAGAGCAATACTTTTAGGACGAAAAGCAGCTGCTGGAACATTCTGGAGTGTGCCCAGAGCCAGAGGCCCTGTGAAGCCAGTGCCTGCCTGGCTCCCTCGCTCCTGGTGCTTCCTTCCTCCCTGCCCAGCAGAGCCCCTGGGACCAGAAGGTGTGTGTTGTGTCTCTACCTCCTGTAAATTTTGCTGGGTTAGACCCAGACCCATCATTCAGCAAAGTCTTCCTAGTTCAGCTGGTTCCCCAACACCAGACAGGCTGTACAGCAAAGCTCAGAGAAGTCTGCATGAAAAAGATTTAAGATTAACAACTTTAAGCTGTTATAGATAAACATGAAAAGTTACAAGAAACAAAAAAAGGGCAAAATAAAGATAATCCAGATGTTCTGCTTTGCATCCTCTGCTTCTAATTGCTGTGCCACAGCCAACGTGTAGATGGCACCTCTCTGCTTGGAGGAGCTGCTGGTGGCATCAATATATTCCTGTTTTCATTCTCCAGATGAGCCACATGTGGTCTCTGAGTGCAAGGGTTTGGTGCTTGTGTTGGTGCTCACCAGAAGGCTCAGCCAGGCCCATAGCCTTTCCCATTCACCCTGATCTAGGAGCAGAGTCCCAGTCTCCAAGGAAGACAATCAAGAGACAAAGCATCTCGCAAGCCCCCACTTCCATGGTTTCTGAAGCGGTTAGAGAACAATTTTCTTTTTTTTTTTTTTTTTTTTTTTTTTTTTGAGAGCAGTTTGGTGTGGTGTTTCTCAGGGGTTGATGTAGGAGTTTGTGTGTTTAACATCTTTCCCACTGACAAAGGTGCTCATGGGCACCCTGGGCAGTGTCCTGGTGACACCAAGCTGTGTCTTGGGTGTCACACACTGGAGGGCAGGGATGGGGCATCCATGAAAACGACCTGGACTGCCTGGAGAGGTGGAGCTGTGCAAAACTCATGACACTTAACCAGGCCAAGTAAAAGGTCCTACATGGAGTTGGGGCAATCTCAAGCCCAGGTACAGACTGGGAAGAGGATGGATGGATGGATGGATGGATTGCAATCTGCCTTGAGAAGGACTTGGACGTGCTGGTGGATGAGAAGCTCAACACAGAATCATAGAATGGCTGGGGCTGGGAGGGACATTAAGGTCATCCAGTTCCAAACCCCTGCCATGGATGTGCCCCAGCCATGTGTGTCAGAAACCCCCCATGCCCTGGGCTGATACCCCAGTATGGGCAGAAGGAGAGGGGGAAATTCTGCCCCTCTGCCTTGCTCAGGTGAGACCCACCTGCAGAACTGCCCCAGCCCTGTGGCCAACAGCAGAAGGACCTGGAGCTTCTGGAATGAGTCCATAGAAGGCCATGGAGCTGCTCCAGGGCTGGGAGAGCCCCTGGCATTCTGCTTTAGAGCCAGGCTGGGAGAGCTGGGGGTGTTCACCTGGAGAAGAGAATGCTCCAAGGAGAGCTCAAGCCCCTTCCAGGGCCTGAAGGGGCTCCAGGAGAGCTGAAGAAGGACTTTGGATAGGGGTGTGGAGTGACAGGACAAGGGGAGATATCTTCCCACTGCCAGAGGGCAGGGATGGATAGGATATTGGGAAGGAATTGTTCCCTGTGAGGAAGAAATGACTTCCCTGGCACAGGGTGCCCAGAGAAGCTTTGGCTGCTCCAGCCCTGGCAGTGCCCAAGGCCAGGTTGGATAGGGCTTGGAGCAGCCCGGGATGGTGCAAGGTTTCCCTACCAAAGGCAGGGAGTAGAACAAGATGGTCTATAACGTCCATCCCAACAGAGGTAAGATCCAACCCTTCTGTGATTCTCTGAATTAAGTTCCTCATTGTGAAACACATTTCCGAGCACTCACATGCACTAACTGTCCATAGCCTTTGAAACGTCCTCATCCTCTTCCTCTATCTGGTGCTGATGCAGCAGGGGAGGGACTCAGAGCTTTGCAAATCCACCAGCTCTGCCCCTTTGCACAAGAGCCATACTGTGGGCTCTGTTGTGCAAACTGCTGGTTCTGGAGCTGATGCTGGATCTGTTTCTGGTAATGGAGCTGGTTCTGGTGCTGGAGCTGGAGCTAAAGCTGGAGTTGGTGCTGAAGTGTGGACCTCAGGCAGACATTCTGCTTCTGTCTCACACTGAAAGGGTGGGCTGGAGACCTCCTGAGTCTCTTGGGCTAGGGTCACCCTGAAGGCCAGGGGAGGTTGCTCAGGATCTCATTCAAGGAAGCATTATCCCCAGGGATGCAGGCCCCACCTCTGCTCTGGGTCCTGTCCCAGCACTTCACCACTATCCTGGGTGTTTTCGTACATCTGTTGGGAATTTTCTTGGCAGTACCACTTGCCATTGCCTCTTGTCCCATCCCTGGGCACTCTGAACAGCTCTGTCTGCTCTGCAGCCCTTCCATGAGATAGTCAAAGTCAAGAGTAAGGCTTCCAGAGCATTCTTCCCTCCAGGCTGACCAAACCCAGCATTCTCCTGGGCTCAGGTGGATTCTCTCCAGGTTGTCAAAACCAGTCTGCAAACAGGACCAGCCTCACTTGGGCCTCACTGCAAGATTTGTAATTTGCTTTGCCGATTTTCTTTAAAATATTAAAGGACCAGGACCATCATCAGTTCATGTCTCCACCTACAAGGAGGCAGCTTTGGGGATGGAGATGCTGGATCCCAGCTTTGGAGATGGACACACCTGCAGAGTCACTGCCAGAGGCACTGCACCACCTGTACCATTCTACAGCCACTGTGTGTCCTGGGGTGTCCATGCAGGACAGAGTCGAGGTGAAGACCTTCATCCAACCAGCCCTGGGGAGCCCTGGCAGGAGCCCAGTTACTGCTGATCCAAGGAGTTCTGATCCATGAGGGCAAACACAACTGCAATGTGCAGTGAGGGGGAGCTGAGGAGCAGCTCCTCTGTGTCCCCCCGTGCACTTCCATGCCCAAACACATCTCTCACTGATCCAGCAGTATCCCTCTGTTCTGTCAGCATTTGTCCATGAGATGCTTTTGCACTGGAACAGGGAGAGAGGCTTTGGCCCGTGGCAGAGGAGATGCTTTGCCAGCTGACCTCCTGGTGCAGCAGCACTTTGGGCAGACCAGATGCTCCAGACCAGCAGCTGGAGGGTGATGCCTGTTCAAACCATCATCCCAGTGCCTTCTCCTGCGCAGGAAGAAGGAGCAGCTCTCATGGACCCCCAGGGGATGTGGGGCAGAGCACGTCAGGAGGTGGGATGGGGAGTACTGGGCACTGCAGGTGTCTCCGGGGGTAGATGTGAAAGTGTTGCTTTGACCTTTAAAAACAGCAGAGGATGAAGAGCACCATGGGGGAAGGAACCTTGTCCCTGGAAGACACCCCCAGAAGGGCCCAAGACTCAAACCACCACGCAGGGGTCAGATCTCCACCTTCAAAAATCCCGGGAAAGCTCCGGTGAAGCATCAGGCTGTGTATCCAGCTGCGAGCAAAGGAGCCCCCCCGGCGGGCACAGGGCGGGGGTGAGGTGAGCGCCGGACCGGGCTGGCCGCCCACGCCCGCGGAGCGCCCGCGGCAGCCCCGGCTGATAACGCCGGGCACATAAAAGAGGCGGGGGCCGCGGGCCGGGAAGAGGCGGCGGATCGCAGGTGAGAGCCTGGCCCGGCACAGGCGCTTTTCTCTTGTGGAGAGTTTGTTTCCCTGCCGGGGGTGGGACTGGGGAGCTGGGGCTGAGCTTGGGGCTGAGCTCTGTGGTTCCCGCTGCTTCCACCCTCGCCTGGCACCGGGCGCGGCCGGAGCGCAGCCGGGAAGCGCCTGGAGCGCGGTGCTGCTCTCGCCAGGGACTCCTCCACACGGACGGGGCTTAGCCGGGCATTTTAGGGTGCCTTTGAGGCAGCTTCACGGTGGATGCTCAGCCCACAGCTCTGGGCTCATTCTGGGAGCTGATTGCTTGGAGCAGCCTTGGGAGGTGAGTGGGTCAGCTTTGGGGAAAAACATCCCAAACATCTATTAAATGGCTATTAAATACTTCCCACTGCTTCTGCAGCCCATGTTAAAGGAACAGCTAGGTAATAACTGAATAAATTCCCATTAAAATACAAATATAAATGCTGTATTTTATAATTATGGGGATAGAGCGATACCCAGATCATGGTTGGCTTCACTCTGGCTCTATTGAGGAACACAAACAGTTCACTCATAGTGATTTTTGTAGCAACATTCTAAATATTGAAGTATTATTTCCTCCAACTTTTTGGTGTAACTTTTAATCTGAATATCCTCAACCCCAGGCTAACCAGGAATAAAGAGAATACAGTCCTTTTATGTGACATGACTACTTGCAAGGAGGACTCTTGGAATTTAAAGGCAGAGAAGCAGAGGTGTAGAGGACCTGCCGTGCTATCCTGGCTCTTCCCTCTTCCCCACCAGCTCTCCCTTGCACACTCTGTGTGCCACGCTGGCAGCAGATTCTGGTCCCTTTGTCCTGGCCCCCAAAGTCCCAAGCAGCACGTTCCCACCAGTGCTGGCATTCCCTGAGACAGGAGGCTGCTCCTTTTCCACATGGCACTGACAGAACCTCTGAGGCAGTGCACTCCCTCCTGGAAGCGTTGCATTGGGCAGGGGATGCTCCATGAGCTCTCTTGACATGTGCCATCCTCCACCTTGGCACAGACCTTCCTGATGCATCCATGTATTCTTGGTCATCTTCACTTACATTTCTTTGCAGGGATGAAGGCAGAAACCTTCCTGGGGTTGCTGGTGATCCTCAGCCTGTTCCAGGCATCTGTATCCTCTTCCTACGGTATTGTCCTTCCCTCAGACTCTGCAGATCAGGGGATTTTCTGAGGGGGAAAGATCAAGCTATGTCTACAAGAGACTGTCATTCAGAAGCATAGCCCTGAAAAGGTGCCAGAAGGGGCACAGTTTGTACCTCCTGTGGCACCGATCTTGGCTCTTTCAGGTTTTTACCAGTTCACATCCTGCCTGATTCCTTAAAATCAGGTAAAGGAGATCAGTTCCCAGCACTGGACCATGCCCATGGAACCAGGGTCTCCCTCCCTGTGCCAACACCTGAGAGAGCTACCAGGGCCTGTGGAGTGTAGAGATGGGGCAGTCACTCCCCCTCTTCCAGCTCTCCATAGAGGCCTCCATCTGTTAATTTACAACGTCAAATCCTTACGAAAAGCACATGCCTGGCTTTTCATTTGTCTCAAATGGTGGTCCAGGCAATAATTTTTCTCATCAGGATTGTCCAAGAGCTGAGCTCTGGGCTGATCTGGGAAGATATTTAAAAGAAACTGGGGAGATTTGGGAGATATTTATCCCTTTGTGCTATTTTCTGAAGTTTTCCTCTTTCCCAGAAACTCTAGGAAAGTGCTGTCACTCAGAGAAGCCCTCAGGGCCTGTCCCTTCCTTTCTGTGACCCACAGCCAGCAGGTGATGGAGAGGAAATTCATTTTGGGAGCTCCCCCCAGGGCAGGAAGGGGAGCAGTGAAAATGGAAGGAGGTTGCAAGAAGGACTGGGGAAAGACACGGAGAAATTGGGCTGCTTATAGAATCAGAGAATCCCAGAACGGTTTGGGTTAGAAGGGAGCTTAGAGTTCGTCCCATTCCACCCCCTGCCATGGGCAGGGACACTTTCCACTATTCTAGGGCGCTCCAAGCTCCCTCTGACTTGGCCTTGGACACTGCCAGGGATGTGACAGCCACAGCTTCTCTGGACAACCTGTTCAAATGCTCTGCTGTGAAAGGGCAGCACAGACGGTGCCTGCACCTCTCACTGTTTGGGGCTGTTTGAAGCCTCCACTGATGGAGGGATTCTCTTCATGCCCAGGAGAGACTCTCAAACTCCCCTGAGGAATATATTTATATGCAGATCTCTGGAGAGTGAGCAGCACTTGCCTCCAGCACTTCTGTGTCCAATTCCCGGGTGGAGGAGGTGCAGGGATGCTCCCTGCCGGCACCCTCACCTCTGCTCCTCCCTTTCCCTGCTCAGATGTGCCGCTGGAGCTGTCGGACACGTCCCTGCAGAGCAGCGTGGCCGAGGCCCGGCAGCTGGTGGATGCCGCCTACAAGCGCACACGGGAGCGGTGAGAGCCGGGCTGGCTGTGGCACGTCCCCTGTCCCTGTCCCCTGGCCTCTGTCTTCTCCTGCACCGCAGCTTCCCACGCCTCTCCTCCTCCCCGCAGCACAGGGACAGTGGGCTGGGGAACTCCGGGAGCACAGCGGGCTGTCATCCGGCTTTTTGATTTTACACCAGTCTGTCGGGTCACTGGGAGCTATGACCTCCTCCATCTCGGTTTTCAAAGAATCACAGAATCTTGGACTGGTTTGGGTTGGAAAGCTCATCTTGTTCCAGCCCCTGCCATGGACAGGGACACCTTCCACTATCTCAGGGTGCTCCAAGCCCCATCCAGCCTGGCCTCGGACACTTCCAGCTCCTCTAGGCACCCTGTGCCAGGGCATCCCACCTTCACAGCTGCACCTGATGCTATTGCTGGGCTCCGTTGCACCCCTCAGGCTGCTCTGAGCAGGAGCCCTGAGTTGAGACCAGCACATAATAAATAAGGCTCCTGCTTATTTCCAGTGGTTCCCTCCTGTGGATGCAGCAAACAGCTGGATGCTGCAGTGAGGACATTTTGTGGGACTCCCAGCCATGCTTTGGGAGTGTCCAGCTTCCTACCAGCCCATACCTGTCCTCTGCCAGCAGCCACACTCTGAATCCCCTCCCTGGCATGGGGACTGCTCCAGCAGAGAGGAGGCTCCAGCAGCTTTAGGACAGGGTGGCCTGGAGACATTTGAGACCTCTGGACAGTGAGAGATACTGATGATCTGGATAACAGCTGAGCGAGGTTTGCCTCATAGATGTTATTTGCTTGCTGGCAGGTGGAGCTGGGCAGTTTCAGGGACTCCCTTCCTGCAGATCTCTCTGCTGCTCTGTGGAGGGTGCTAGGAGCAGCCCTGACCTCTCCCACTGACTGTCTCCAGCCGTTCAGACTTAGGGCATGCCGTGCCTGATGTTCAGGTGTGCAACTGCAGCATCCCTGCCCCTGCTCCATTTCAGATTTTGGTTTCCTGTCCCTTGCAGCATAAAGAAGAACCTGCAGAACAATGCCTTGACCCCAGCAGAGCTCCTGAGATATTTCAAGCAGCCAGTGGGGGGGACACGAATGGCTGTCCGGGCAGCAGATTATCTGCAGACCACCCTGAGCCTGCTCAAAGAGAAGCTGCGATGGGCTGTGAGGGGGGACTTCAACGTCACAGGTAGGATCCCCCTTTCCTGGGAGAACCCCCTTTCACAGAGGAGGAAGACGCAGGGCTTGGTCACTGGGGCTTGGGAGGAGCAAAGGAAAGGGGGTTGTGGTGGGCTGTGACAAATCTTTCCCGTGTGGCTGCAGTGAAGCAAAGCTGAGTTATTTTTCTGTGCTCTTTTTCCATCTTAAATATTATTTGGGGGTTTTTCAGTTAGTGAAAGTGTTTTGTGCACTTCCCTGGTTCCTTCTGCTGTATGGAGGCTCATGTTCCAATGGATCATGGAGCTTGGAGAGCTTGGAGAGCTTTGGTAGACATTCTGCTGCTTGAGTAGGGAATGAGCAAACCCAGAGATGACTCCCAGCAGCTTGGCCCCAAGGAGGGCAGTTCTTCAGACAGCACTGAAGTCACATCACAGACACAACACCGTCCAAATAGAGAATGGGGAGATGTGAGGGGACATTTCAGCGTGTGTCTGGAGGAGCAACATCCTCTGTGAGATGGAGTCAGGCAAGGCCAGGCTGCTGAGAGGAGGCAAATCAGGGCCAGTGAAAGGAACAGCTCAGGGACACACAGGGAGGACTCCTGCCATATATGTATGAACTCATGGGGATCATGGAATAGTTTGGGTGGGAAGGGACCTTAAAGCCCATCCAGTGCCACCCCTGCCATGGGCAGGGACACCTTCCACTGTCCCAGGCTGCTCCAAGCCTCACCTAGCCTGGCCTCAAACACTTTACCAACATTACAGTAAAGCACTGGCAGGATAAGGCACATCATGGGGTGCTCCGGCTTTGCTCCGGGACAGGATGAGTTGGAAGGTGATGGCAGAACTGGCTGTGCAGAGCTCCAGCCTCTCCAGCCAGGACTGATGCTCCAGTACCATTACAGAGCCCTGCAAGGGCCACCTGGCTGCCACTTCTTGCCTACCTTAAAAAGCCCAGTGGCTTTTTAAACCATGCTGTGACCCAGACTGTTGGTGGCAGCAGTGACCAGGAAACCTCAGAGAGCTGGGATGTGGAGTGAGCAGCAAGAGACAAGAAGGAGCATCTTCCCTGTGGAGACAGACTGGGAGAGCTGGGGGTCAGCCTGGAGAAGAGAAAGCTCTAGGGAGACATTAGAGCCCCTTCCAGTGCCTAAAAGGGCTTATAAAAAAAATAGGGAGGGACTTTTTGCATGGGTAGATAGTGACAGGAAAAGAGGGCATGGTTTTAAACTAAAAGAGGAGAGATTTGGATTATATGTTAGGAGGAAATTGCTGTCTGGTAGGGTGCTGAAGCCTTGGCACGGGTTGTCCAGAGAAGCTGTGGCTGCCCCTTGGAAATGTCCAAGGCCAGGCTGGAGCAACTTGGGAAGGTGTCCCTACCCTTGGCAGGGGGATTGGAGCAAGATGGTCTTTAAGGTCTCTCCAACCCAAACCATTCCATGATTCTGTGATTCTGTAAGACTTTTCTTGTTAAACTCTGCCACTCAGCTTCCCTACAAAGGGAAATGTGCACAGCAAAACACAATGCCCTCGGTAAGCCCAGACACAGGATGGTTCTTTTCCAGGCAGCTCCCAGCAGGGGCGACACACACTGGGAGCTGCTTCCAAGGGGAAAAACTTGTAACAGCCCCTAGGATAGCTGTGACTGCATTTTATGGTGGAGATAAAAGAGAGAGGAGAGGAAGTGCCAATACTAGAAAAACCATTCTGCTGCTGCGTGAGCCTAACATGTGATTATAAATAAGATCTGACCATAGCTTTGCTGGGTTTGATGCTTTCCAACCCAGCAAAAGCATCTGCTGCTCAAAGAGCATCCTCAGCATGTCTTTGAGCAGGAAGAATTAAATGACAGCACATTGTGGTTGTGCAGATGATGCTAGGTACAGGAAAACCTGCACCTGAAAACCTGAGCAAACCCAGCAGGGCCAGTGTGTTCCTGCATGGCTTTTTTTTCCCCTTATTCCCTGCCAGACTTGCTGACTCCAGCTCAGGTGGAGGTGATTTTCAAGGCCACTGGATGTGACCAGCAGGATAAGAAAATAAATTGTGCATCTTCTAGCTACAGAACCATTACTGGCGAGTGCAACAACAGGTGAGGGGCTGTGTCAGCAGGAGGATGGATGGATGGATGGATGGATGGATGGATGGATGGATGGATGGATGGGACAGGATGTGATGGATGGGAGAGGAGGAGAAGAAATGGACTCAAGTTGCACCAGGGAAGGCTTAGGTTGGACATCAAGAGGAATTTCTTCCTGGAAAGGGTGGTCAGGTATTGGAATTGCCCAGGGGGCCGGTGGAGTCCCCATTCCTGGAGGTGTCCAAGGAAGGACTGCAGGTGGCACTCAGTGATCTGGGCTGGTAGGTTACCCTAAATTATTCCATGGATGGATGTTGAGCATCCTCCATAAGTAGAACGAGACCCACTTCCACAGGGATGATTCACACAGGAACCTTGTTTTAGAGTTTCACACTCCACAGTATTTCCTAGTAATGTGTAGAGCTGTTAATTCCAGTCCTGTTTGGAAGGTTCCTGGTGTTGTACCTGAACCAGCTCTTTGCCAAAACAGGAGGAGCTCCATGTTGGGGACAGACTCTTTGTCTGGCCCTGCCCCTTGGCAGGGTCTCCAAGGGTTTCCTGACATAAATCCATACTGGGCATGATTTAGCCATCCCCTTGCCCCACACTGTGTGGGAGGAAATCTGAGCATATAGGCTGTGAGAGCACCTCCTGCACGTCCCATGGCTGCAATGGGGAATGTGGGAGACGTGGGAAATTGCTGAGCATGGGGTGTTTCATAGGGACAGTTCAGAAACATTCCCTGTAAAAACAGAGCTGGGCAGATCCTGGGAGCAGCTGAGGCAGAGGAAGGAGCTCAGCCAGCTCTTCCTGCTCCAGGATGCTTTAGCCTTCAGGGGATTGTATAAGAACAAAGGAGATACCTTCCTGCCTCCTTCCACTTCGGGGGGGATGTGGGTTCTGGGATAAGGACAGGTCCATTACCTGATCCACACCTGAGGCCTGGGGAAGGTGGGCTCAGCTGTGCTGTTTCTCCACTGCCTGGGGCACAGCTACACCCGCTGTGGGTCAGAGGCCACCACAGAACACACTGTGGACATGCACTCCAAAGAAAGCATGTTAGTACTCTGATTAAGGTTTTAATAGTGTATTTGTCCTGCTTCAGGGCAAATTTGGGAGAGAACCTCCGAAGGGGTTTCCTCTAGAAAGCAGATTCAAGCGGCCCCTCCTCCCGCCAGTTCGGGAAAATATTTCCTTGGAGAAAAGGGGAAAAAAACTTTATTTAACAGTCAAAGCATTCACCAGCACAAAAATTGAACAATATTAAACAATAAAACCTCTTGCCACTCCAAAGGAGATGACAAACTCAGAACAGTCCCTCCCCGGCTCCCTCAGTCTCTGAGCAGGGCTGGAAATGCCGCGGCCCAGGCCCGGCCCAACCACAGGCGGAGCTGCCGCTGCTCGGCTGGGCTTCCGGCCAGAGCAGGTTTGTACAGATCCGAGAAAAAGAAAAACCACCGCCCAGGGAACTTCTCTGCCTCAGCTAGCTAAAAACTAACTAAAAAGCAAAGGAGAGCTCTGTCTTGCTGTCTCTCCATGCTGCAGACAGCACAGTCCAGGAGCAGGAATGTGGAGGAGTGAGTGCAGTGTCTGAAAACAAACTTGGCTCTCAGAACCGATCTTAAAGGTGCACAACTTATTTCTGGGCTAAACAGATTAATGGGGATACGAGCACCATAAAGTCACTCTAGGACATCTAATCAAACTACAATCATAGAGTCACAGAATCGTTTGCGTTGGAAGTGATTTTGAAAAGGTTTAAATGTCATCTAGTCCAACCCCCTGCAATGGGCAGGGACATCTTCATTAATGACCTTCAAAAAAATCACCCAGCACAGTAACCTCACAGCCCCAATTTATGTTCAAGACCATAGGTAATTCCATTCCAAGGCTTTTCCCCTTTTCCATGGTGTTCAGCTTCCAGCTTTGTTTTCCAGCCACAGTCTGAGGGCCTTTTTTCAGGCTGGATGACATCAGGGGCACCTGTGTTCTTGCCTGGGAGAAGCTGAGAGTTGGGGCAGATTATGAAATGTCTTTTCCAGTCTTAACAATTCTATGATTATTGTTGTTGTTGTTATTAATCCTGAGGTTTACTGATAGCGCCAAACCTATGGAGCTGCAGCAGTTCCCCAACCATGGTGTGCTCCCATTCCAAGGTCCATGTTTCTCCATATCCACAAGCTCTTGGCTCCAACTGTTTGCTGTTTTTCCATTGCCTCTAACAGGAGGAACCCATCCCTAGGAGCTTCCAACAGAGCCCTGGCCAGGTGGCTGCCAGCAGAGTATGAGGATGGTGTGTCCGTGCCCCGTGGGTGGACAGAAGGAAAGCGTTTCTCTGGATTCCCCCTTCCACTGGTAAAGTTTGTAACAGTCTCAGAACACAGTGTCAGGTCTAGGGATTGTCAGTTCTAGTACAGACTGCAGGCATCAAAGGGCTCATCCACTAGCTGGAATTGTGGATCAGGTTGGACGGGCTTAAATTCACCAGCTGCAGGGTGATGGTCTGAGAATATCCAGGGGGATCTATTAGAAATGCTTTCTAAGTCCCATGCCTTTAGGAAAAGCAAAGGAAAATTAATCTGATTGCTGCAGAATCACAGGAAGAATACAGAATTACACAATATGTTCTTTTAAATTGAGTGCATTTATGTCAAATTATTTTACTTACCTTTTTTAATTTTGTCTGTGGCAGTTGTTTCCTGAAAAGCAATTATACCAGGGGATAAAGTGAGCCATATTCTCCAGAGGGAATCTCAGAACAAAAAATGTATGAAGAAATGCTATATGTGCTATGTGGGGGTCCCTGGGTGGGTGGAGTGCAGGGGTTGTGGCTCTCGTGGCACCTGGATGTGAGCAGGGACTGTGAGGTGGCTTCTGGTCACTTGAGCTTGGTGCAATAACAGCTCTGATGAGGAGCTGGGGTTGTGTTCATGGATTTCTTGTACTTCTTAACCTTCCTCCACAGCACTTTTTCTGTAGTAATACGTGGAGGTGGGGGAACTGTGATTGCTGAGGAAGGGATGAGAAGGAAGGAGGACTTCAAGATAATTTTCAGAAATTACCTGTGGCTATTTTTTCTACACTTCTATTAAAAAAAATCTTTTAAATTTTGTTTTGTCTCCCTTTCCCAGGCTTGCTTAGCTATTTCCCTAAGTCCATCAAGGGAGAGTCTTGGCCTGGAGGCTCAGAATCCTGCCTAGAGCCAGAGCAGCACTGTGCTCAGCAAAGGGCACTTGGTGATGGTGACACCTTCCTGCACAGACAGATTTGGGGTTTTTTTGTTGGCAAAGCACAAGAAGTGCCTGGGGAATTTTTGCTGATGACCCTGCAACCGGGTGCACCCATTCACGTATGTCATTTCCCACCAATGTGTTCTGCCTCCACCCCTGCAGGTCCGACAAGTGTCCAACGAGATTGTCCGCTTCCCCCCGGAGCAGCTGCGGATGGACCAGCAGAGGTCCCTCATGTTCATGCAGTGGGGCCAGTTTATTGACCACGACCTGGATTTCAGCCCAGAAACCCCAGCCAGAGTCCCCTTTGGTGGCGGGACAGACTGTGACACCAGCTGTGCCAAGAAGCCTCCCTGCTTTCCCATCCAGGTACAGGCAGCCTCCTTCTTCCAGGGGAGGAAGGGAGAGGGCATCTGCTTTCTGATCAGGAGATGTGGGTGGCTCTCACGGTCCTTGGCCACGTAGGAATATCCTCCCAGAACAGGCCAGGGAGGTCAGAGCACTCTGTGTGGTGGCAGTGCTGTGTTCAGGGGCGGTCCCTGGGTTCTGGCACAGGCACAGACTTTGCCAGGTTTCCAGGCATTTGGCCTTCTGTCTCAGCAATGTGGTTTTTCTTTGGGGCTGTTGTGCAAAGGTAGCACGGGTGTTGCCTGGAAAACAGGAAATGGCACAGACAGGCACTGGGGAGTGTCAATACCCCAGAACATCCATAGGACTTAAGTGTTCTTTGCACAGGACAAGGGAGTGCTGAGATCTCTCAGCTTTGCCTGCGGCATTATCAGGAGTTACATCCTGGTCCCTGCTCCCAGAGATCACAGAATCACAGAATCATTGGGTTGGAAAAGCCCTCCAGGATCATCCAGTCCAAGCTGTGCCCAATCCCCACCTTGTCCCCAGCCCAGAGCAATGACTGTCATGTCCAGGCCTTCCTTGGACTCCTCCAGGGAGGGGACTCCAAACCTCCCTGAGCAGCCCCTGGCAATGCCTGAACACCTTTTCTATGGGGAAATTCCTCCTGATGTCCACCCTGAGCCTCCCCTGGCCCAGCCTGAGGCTGTTCCCTCTCCTCCTGTCCCTGTGAGCAGAGCCCAACTCCCCTGGCTGTCCCCTCCTGTCAGGGAGTTGTGCAGAGCCACGAGGGCCCCCTGAGCCTCTTTTTCTCCAAATCATGTCCATGTCCCTCCTGCAGCCCTGCTCTCTCACCTTTGAAGTCCTGCTGCAACTCTGGCTCCCACATGTCCTCCTAATTCCTCTCAAGAAAAATAATGATGGGATAGAACATCACTGAGTGTTTCCCTGACATACATTTGAGAGTGCTGGAAGGAAGGGTCACAAATTCTGGATGACAATTCTCTGTGGTGTAGATATGGAGATAAGAAAACAAAGCGTTAAAGATGCAATCCAATATATTTATTTTCAGGGGAAATACTTTAGGAATCCATAGGACTTTAGGCTCCAGGCTGTTTGGGACTTGGGCTCCTAAAGCAGCATCTCTGCTGTCAATCTGACTCTTCATCTCAAGATTTACGCTGGAGGCTTATGCCCTGTGAGAGGGCTCCTGCCTGGCTCCATTTCCTGAGCCACTGATGAATTTTCCTTTTCTCTATCTGCAGATCCCACCCAATGACCCCCGAATCACCAACAGGAGGGATTGCCTCCCTTTCTTCCGCTCAGCTGCCACCTGCACGCGGGGCAGGGCGGTGCGGGAGCAGATCAACGCGCTGACCTCGTTCCTGGACGGCAGCATGGTGTACGGCAGCGAGGTGGCCGTGGCCGAGCGGCTGCGGGACCGGAGCAGCCAGAGGGGCCTCCTGGCTGTGAACCACAACTTCACGGACAGGGGCAGGGCGTACATGCCTTTTGGTCCCATGAGGAAGGAGCCCTGCCTCAAGGCCAGCGGGGCAGCTCGAATCCCTTGTTTTCTTGCGGGTGGGTTGGGTGCTTGCACCCCAAACCTCTAATCTGGAGCAGACAATTCCACCAGCTCCAGCTCACTTCTTTAGTTGTTTGTTTTTCTTATTTAAATAGAAAAGGAATGGAACAAAGCATGAAAGACTGAGACAGGCTGTGCTAGGTAGGAGGAAGGTCTTCACCCTCTCCAGGTCTTGTTTGTGAGGATAAACCTGAGTGAAGGTGTCTCATCCATGCTCAGCAACTCTGGTGTAGGGCCCAGAGTGACCTAGGAACCAGTGCCATGGTGGAGTCAAGCAGGCGCACCAATGGCAGCCTGGTCTGGAGGCAATGGCTGTCATGTACTTGTCCTTCCATGACTGTCTCCATCCCAGCAGGATGGAAAGAGATGTGTAACTACTGTGCTGGGTCACAGCAGGAAACATTTGCATGTCCCTGCTGCACTGTGGGAGGAGCTCAGATCCCACCTAGAATGAGGATGAGGCTAATATCAGACCAAGGTGGCCTTTTAAGGTGTGTTCCCACCACTGTGAAGGCTGAGGGAGTACTGGGAGTACTTTCCACAAACCTGTGGGACCCCAGAGATGGATGCTTCTGATAGACCTCATGAATTAGTGTCTCCCTGGCCTATTTCTTTTGGAGAGCAGGACTTCCCAGCTGGCTCCTGCTGGCTCTGGCCATACCAGGCTGCTTGTGGCAGTGCTGGAGAAAGCTTCAGGGCACAACTGATCTCATCAGCTGTGGAGCTGCTTTCTATTCCCTTGGCTGGTTTCATATGTGGCTGAAGTTCCTCTGAACATCCCCATGGTCCTTGGAATCCATCAGCTCTCTCCTTTAAAGTTCCTGGTGTCTCAAGCTCTCTCCAGGCCCCCACAGCAGTCCACCTGTCCCACGTGTTGTTCCATGTCTTCACCTGCTCCCCCAGTTCTGTGCAGGTCTCTCCTTGGTGAGGACCATGCAGGATCTGTGGCCAAAAGCAGGTGCCCTGTGAGAAGCAGAGCGGGCAGGAGTATCAGATAACTTCCCAGGAGGGGCCTCTGGCCCCTGTGGACTCTCAGCAACGAGCACTTCCTGTTCCATGGCTGGAACAGACCCATCAATTCTTTTATAGTCATCAGTTCAGGCTGCTTCGGAAGCGCCTTTGAAAATTCAGTGTCTTATTTGTGACTTTTCCGGTCCCTGAGAACTGGGGGAGTTTTACATGTGCAGTTGCCTCCCAGGGTTCAACATTTCCTCCCAGAGCTCTGTTGGAAGCTCTGGCTGGATGCATTCTGCTCAGGGAAACCTCACAGTGCTGCATTTGTTCCTCCTTCCGCAGTCCCTCACAGGCAGCCTTTGAGAGTGGATAAAAAGGGCTCTGTGCCAAGTGCAGGAGCAAATCCCTCTATTTGCTGTGGGACAAGGGGACTAAATACAACATATTTACTTTTCTCTGAGTGCTTGTCTATGTGCTCTCATCACCTGCTTGCTCTTGCGTTTCCTGCCCCAGATGTTTGAAGAAGGATTTGATATTTTATTGTGATGCTGTTTGTTATTTATTCCTCCAAGTTGACTCATTTTGCTTTTCCTTTTACTCCCCAGAGAGCCTGTTTGTGACTGTCACCTTGCTTTGGCCACAGTTTTAACCAGTTTGAAGGAGACCTGCTGAGTTTCAGAGCTTCCTTAGTCATCTTGACTTCCCTTTGCCCATTTGCATTTTTCTTTCAAGCTGTGAGACCAAACATCTCTAATATGGGAGCCTGGAGAATACCTACTTGTATTTAACTTTTTAAGTTAATGCTCCCAGCCCTTCACTGAAACTTTCCCCACCTCTCTGTGATTCTCAGCACAGCCGGGACAACACCTGGCTTTTGCCGACTCTGCAGAAATTGAGCTTTTGCCTGGTGCTGTCCAATCCTTTGTTTCCCTCTTCTCCTCTGTGTTTCTTACCCACTTTCTTCACAACACAAATATTGAGACATCTAAAAATTCCTCTGTGTGTGCTTCCCAATGTGACTTTCCCACTCCAGTGTTGTGTGTGCCCCTCCCAGGTGATACCCGTGCCAGTGAGATGCTGGAGCTGGCCTGCATGCACACGCTCTTTGTGCGGGAGCACAACCGCCTGGCTGGAAAGCTGAGGAGCCTCAATCCCCACTGGAATGATGAGAGGCTCTACCAAGAGGCACGAAAGATCCTGGGAGCCATGATCCAGGTACCAGCCATCATCCCACCTGTCCTGGCTCTGCCTGCAGTCTCACAGGGTTCATGTGTTGGATTTTACTAGTGCAGGGTGGCTAAAAGGTGCAGGATTCTGGGGTGAAAGGACCAAATTCTTTCCTCCAGCCCCTTTTGATCAAAGCAAAATCACGCGGAGATGCCTGAAATGACAAGCACTGAGGGGTCCCCCTGAATGTACCTCTACTGTTAAATTTACAAAGTGCTTGATGAGGTTTTTAGTGGCACATTTTTGTTTGAGAAACAGAAAAGTCAGAAGAAAAGCTTTTCTAACTGGTGCTTTGTACCTGATAAAAATGGTACTGGAAATTTGGATTAAAATTCCTTGGGTTGTGAATCCCCTCCTCTCAATGATTCCCTGCCCATGGCAGGGAATGATCTTAAAGGTCCCTTCCAACCCATACCATTCTTAGATTCTATGAAGAAGCCCCGTGTGCTGGTGGAGCCAGACATGGTGTCTCCTTGGGACGGAGCTGCATCCTTTGGCCACCCCACACAAGCTTGACTAGCTTGCCACACTACCCCAGACTTGACACTGAATGGGATCCTGGGGTCACACAAGCACCTCTGTGCTTGGGAGGGACCTCCCAAAGTCTCTTGTCCAGCCTCCAGTTTGGAGTAGGAATGGCCTCAAAGCCAGATGAGGTTTTACAGTTGGCAGGAAAGCCTGGATCCTATGAGAGAAAGGGACATGGGGTTCCCAAAGGCACTGCACCTCCTTTAAAGCCTGTCTTCTGAGCTGGTTTAACAAAAATAAAAAGCAGGAATATCAAAATGTTTATGTTTTTATGTTGTCCATTTAAATGTTATTGTATTGTTGGAAAAACATGTTGGGCAAGGCAAACACTCAAAAGATTGTCCAAAAAAGCATCATCTCCATCACTGTGTTTACATCAATGGTTTCATGCAGTATTCAGACAATTAATCCATTTTCTCCTACTGACACAGAATTTGATTTTTCTTTTTTAAAATACATTGTGCTGCCTCCTCAATATCTCAGAGAGACATGAGAGCAGGCGTGGAAATCTCTGCTGTGGGAGGACTCAGGGAGCTGCCCGTGGGTGGTGCTACCCCCATTATCTGCCGATGTTATCTTTGCTGTCTGAGGCATGAAGGGTGCAATTCTGCCTGCCTGATGGGAGTGGTGTGGTGACAAGGAGCCAATATTTGGGAGGATTTGGCAGGCTTTTGTCTTCACAAAATCACAGAACCAATTAGATTAGAAAAGACCTCTGAGTTCATTGAGTCCAACCTATTATTATGTTGCTCTGACCTGCCAGAATGTTGTGGCAGAGAGAACATGAAAATCAACTTTGCTTCCACAGAAACTGATGGCCAAGACATTAACAGTTCACCCTTTCCTTGTTTCCCCATAGATCATAACCTACAGGGACTACCTGCCTCTCCTGTTGGGATGCAGGTTCCGCAGGCTCATTCCTCGCTACCGGGGCTACAACGAGTCTGTGGATTCTCGGATATCCAATGTCTTCACCTTGGCTTTTCGCTTTGCTCATGCCTCAGTCCCTCCAACCGTTGGCCGCTTAGATGAATATTACAGACCCATAACTCCTGAAATTCAGCTCAGAACCTCCTTCTTTGCTGTCTGGAGAATCATTCAAGAAGGTAAATCCTTTTCTGCAGTGTGGGCTTATTTCATTCATCCTTTCTGCCCTCTCTGGATAAACTCCTGCTTCAGCCAAATTTAAAAGCATTTTGTGTTCAATGCATTAAATGGCCTTTACTACCAGCGAGAGTTGTCCCAACAGAGCTGTCCCCTGTAGACAATGGCAACCCATCTTGTTCCAAAATGGTCTGATCACTTCATTGCTGTGGCTTCCAAGAACATTATTCAAAGCATTTTCTTCTTAATTCTTTGAGTGCAGGGAAATTGATTCTCATGTAGTAGAAGCTTATAATTAAATATGAGCTGTGCTCACCTCTCTGGGGCCTCTTAGCCACACACTGTCCTCTGTGCCCTGCTCATGTGTCCCTGCTTCAGGTGGAATTGATCCCAGTTTCCCTGTGCCACCTCTGCAGGTGGGATTGATCCCTATCTCCGGAGCCTCATGGCCAACCAGGCCAAGCTGATGACACAGCAGCAAATGGTGGTGGGCGAGCTCCGGGACCGGCTCTTTGAGCAGGTTGAAAGGATTGGGTTTGATTTAGCTGCACTCAACATGCAGCGCAGCCGAGATCATGGCCTTCCAGGTAAGTCAGCTGTGGGAGCAGAGCTTGCAAAGAAAAACAAGTGGAAATCAGGCATTTTTGTGATTAAACTTTGAGAAGTTTCTCCAGCCCATGCTTTGCTGAAATTAGTCAGGAGTTGGATTCGGTGATCCTTATACATCTCTCCCAATAGAGGATATTCAGTGATTCTAAGATGCCCTTTCCCAAACTTTTTCCTTGTTTCTGAACAACCATAGGTAAGTGGGTGGAGGTTGAGCACTGAAGGCAAAGCTGGCTGAAGCTGCATGAGAGATGTGGAGGCAAAAGAACACGGGGCATTCTACAGAACAGAGCTTGGTGTTCAGTGACTGACTCATTTCTATTGTCCAAGTGAAAAAAATGGTAAAATAGTTCAGCGACAAGTTTGCAGGAGTGGAACTAGGGCTGTAAATCCCCTGTGACTTCTCTGCAACCATTTGTAGTGGTCCAGCCCAGCCACCCATGACTGGAAGAGCAGATTCCAATATGTTAAGAATATCTCATCATAATTTCTCTACTAAATCTGTGTCCTGCAGAAAAAAAACAACCAAGCATGTCAGAACCACTCTCAGAGCTCTGCAAGGTGCAAAACCAGTGTAATGGCATTGCAAGATAGTCTTGAGAAATAGATTGTTGATAGCACTTCAGAGCTGGCTCAGAGTGAGTCCTTGCCCAACAGTGTCATTATGCTGAGGTAAGAGCCCAGAGCTGCTGTGTCAGCAACATCCTGAGAGATGCAATAGGGCTCCTGTTTGAAACTGGGATGAAAACTGAGCTGGTTCCATGTCACCATGTCAGAGGCTTTGCAGTACATCCAGGGGCATCATCAGCTCACTTTGGCAGAGATTGCTCTGCCTTGACCACAACATAAGGTTGTGATTTTCCCATGCTTTATTGAGGAACACCATCATGCAGACCTGATCAGAACCACAAATCCTGGGTTTCCAGACCTGACATGGTGGGAGTGGCATGTATTTCTAGTGAATTTGGGTTTAGCTTTAGGTCTCAACCCACCTATGAGTGCTGTACTCCCTTATATTAGACATCCATGAAGGTGATGATGGCATAGCAAGGTCAAAACCCCTCCCTAATTCATTTTCTGGTTAAGCAAATTCTCAGTGTCCTGGAATTGTTTGACAGTGGTGTCATCTAGGCACCATATGCTGTGTCTTTTGCTCCCAATGCTCCCTGTTTTTTAGACATAAGACAATAGGTTTGGAATGGATATCAGGAAAAAAAATTCCTGTGAGGTTGGTGAGGCCGGGTCACAGGTTGCCCAGAGAAGCTGTGGCTGCCCCATCACTCAAGTGCTCAAGGCCAGGCTGAACGGGGCTTGGAGCCCCCTGGGATAGTGTCGCACCCTGGGATAGTGTCACACCCTGGCAGGTGTCCCTGCTCATGGCAGTGGGTGGAATGAGATGAACTTTGTTATCCCTTCCAATCCAAACTGTTCCATGATTCCATGACATCTGGCTTACAGCAGAGGTGTTTGCTGCAGCATCATCTCATCTCCTCCACTAAGATGCAGAAATATGCACCAGTTGTGGCACAGTGGATTTTTGGCTGTTTACAGTCCTGAAAAATTAGTCCAGCTGGCAAAGTCTGGTGGCTGAAGTAATTTGGGCTGTGTGGAGTGGGTGGCTTGTCCCCATGGCTGGACAGGGACCAGCTGTGGAGAAGCACTTGGTCATTCTCCTGTTGTACAGAGAGAGGGGCCATCAACATCTTGTCCAGGTTCACTTTCAGTGAAGGCAACATCAGTTGCATCCCTGCTGAGTGGAGCATTGCTGGAAGGTGGTGGTACAACTCCCACCTGCAAAGATGGCTCTCCAAAAACAGGCAGGGGGAGCTGGCTCTGGAGGAGTGGGAAGTCAGTAGCACTAACAGAAACACAGAAAAATGTTTTAAACATTTTGGTGCCCTACTGGTGTCCCAGGTTTGGGAAAGAGAAGGAAAAATCTTTCCAGGAGGGGGTAGCGCATCACTGCTCTATCTGCTCTGACATTCAACTACTTGCAGGTTACAACTCCTGGAGAAAATTCTGTGGGCTCTCACAGCCCTCTGGAGTGAAGTCACTTGGGCATGTGTTGAGGAATCGGAAGCTGGCAAGAAAATTCCTGAAGCTCTATGGGACATCAAAGAATATTGACATCTGGATTGGGGCCCTTGCAGAGCCCTTTGTGAAAGGAGGCCGAGTGGGGCCTCTCATGGCCTGTCTCATTGGCACCCAGTTCAGGAACATTCGTGATGGGGACAGGTAAGAGGGGAGCTGGATATCCCAACCCCAGAGTACAGGGAGTGTGGAGTTTATGAAGATTTCTTCACGCAGATCTGAAAACTACTCCAACTACTCCAGTTGTTTATTGCTTTTTTTTTTTTTTTTTCAGTACTCCTTCAAAAGTTTCATTCTCTTTGTCGCATTCTTATTCCCTGTCTGATGGTTGAGATCCTGGGCTGAGATCCCTTCCCAGCAAAGTGATATCTCACTATTTCTTCTTCCCTCCTCGAGTTCTGAACTGGAACCCTCTGCTCTGACATGTGGCAGGGTTTGATCTTTGCTTGTGATGGATGTGGTGGGTTGGGGTTTTCTTGTCAGCCAAAATCACTTCAGCAGTGATGAGGTTTCAACACACCTGATTCTTCCTCCTCCTCCTTGAGGTTGCTCAGGGGCTTCAGGTGCAGTTCAGGTGCAGTGAGTTACATTCCCCATTTTAAGCTGGATTTCTGAAGTAAGATCCCTGTACCTGCCAGCAATATTGCCTGAAAATGGGATCACAACCCATGTTTCTGGGAAACAGTTCTGCTGAGAAAGACTTAGGATGAGCTCAGACTCCAGGATGTGGGGTCAAATAGTCTGTTGCACATCTAGAAATCCTGTTCTTATGGTAGGAAACAAACCCTTTTCTAAAAAATTGAGTAATTACAGGGCTTGTTCCAACACGGCACTCATTTGGCTGTAACCACTGTGCACAGTCTGTGCAGCCTTTCCTATTTGAAAGAGGGTACCTGTGCCTCATCTGAGGACAATTAATTCAATTGCAGCTTTGTTACCTGTCCATGGCCAAAAGAAAAGCAAGGTAATTGTGGAAATCCTTAAAATCAGAGGGTTTTGGGAAGGCTGCAAAAGGCAGTCCTCAGAGGCAGCAGAACTGTGATTGGAGCTAAGCAGTAGTCATAAGATTTCTCAGCAGAAAAATTATATAAGAAGTAGAAAAGTAAGGACAAATAGAACAATGGTCTGTCTATTAACACTTGTCTAGAATAACTCCCTAAGCTACAGAAAAGTATATCTAGCGAGATATTAGGAAGTTCTAAGCTTAATAATGGAGCTCTGTGAATTGTGTTTTCAGGCTTACAAGCAGGTATTGTATTCAAAACAAGCAAGCATTGTTTAACCAAAGGTACGTGTGCTTATAGTGATTGGATGGAACTACTGTCAATATGCTTTTGCTTTGTGTGATTGGTCAAAAAACTTTTAAAGTAAGTTGTGACATTAAGTTCTTTGTCTGCTGCTGGGAACGTGAGCTGCTGGCATCTTCCCATTGTCATAACCATGGAATGAGACTGATGCTGGAAAATAAACAGCTTGAGACTCCTTCCCCAGCAGTCCCATCCCATTGGTGATTTGTACATAGACCCTGGCTGCTGACAAATGGTGCTCAGTGTGAGGATTGAGCCCACGACCTTCAGATTATGAGACTGACAATTATCCAATTGTCGAGTCAGGGCTCTTGATTTAAATAATAGAAATTCTAATTTGTTCTTGGCAGAAGAAATTGGTGTTAATGGGAATTAATGTGGTGGGAGTCATCAATGTGAAGAAGGCAGAAGGCAAAAATCTGTTGTTTCTTCTTTCTCCTTCAGGTTTTGGTGGCAGAACCCTGGGGTTTTCACTCCTCGCCAGCGCTGTTCACTGGCCAAAATCTCCTTGTCACGAATAATATGTGACAATACCCACATCACTAAAGTATCAAGGAATATCTTCCAGGCTAACAGATACCCCCGTGGGTTTGTGAGCTGCAGTCAGATCCCAAAGCTGGACCTCAGACCCTGGAAGTCAAAGAGCACCGAGGAGCAAGGTATGATCTGCACACTGCAGCAGGTCCTGCCTGCAGACCCCTGAGAAAGCCAGACCCCAGGGTTTAAAACTGAGCTGCCTAACCTGTGTGCCAGGTACAGCTTTAGATGCTCCAGTTCACTAGGTGTATTTAGAGTGTCTTCTACAAAATGCAGATTTTCTGGCAGACCAAGCCAAGTGCCCTATTCTGGGAATTTTTTCTAACAAGGAAAGGCTGAGGGAGCTGGGGCTGCTGAGCCTGGAGAGGAGCCCCAGCTGAGAGGGGCCCTCAGCCCTGGGTGTCCCTGTGTGCAGGGAGGGGCAGAGCAGGGCCCGGGCTCTGCTCCAGGCCCAGCAGTGGCACCAGAGCCACGGGCAGGGACGGAGCCCAGGAACTGCCCCTGCACAGGAGGCAGAACTTCTGCCCTGGGCACTGCCCAGCCCTGAACAGGCTGCCCAGGGAGGGGCTGGAGTCTCCCTCAGCGGGGATACTGCAGAGCCCTCTGGGCACAATGCTGTGCCCTGTGCTCTGGGATGGCCCTGCCTGAGCAGGGAGGTGGCACCAGGGACCCTCTGTCTGAACCATTCTGGGATTCTGGGATTTTTTTCTGATTAATAGACTTTCCATTTAGCTCTTCACTATTGATGCCAGGGTTTCCTCCATGGGAAACAATGCCCAGACTGGGAAGGCTGCTTTCTCTGTCTGTCAAGATGCTGTTTGTCAGCACATCCTTGTAAGGGCAAAAGCAACTCAGCATTTGAAAATTAATTCCCAGTCTATGGAAGGATTTCTGGTTTTGATCTCTGCTTGTACCATTGTCACCTATTTTTACACTATTTCTCTCACCTGCCTTCAAGATTTGTAAAATTCTTAAGGTCTAACTCCTTCCAAAATGCTCCCTGAAATCCTTGGGAAGTAGATGTAGGGAAGAGTGGCTCTCCCTGGAGAAGGGCAAGCTGTTCCAGTGTCTTTTCCAAACAAAACATCCTTCCTTTCCCCTAACAGTCAGGTCCTGCCACACTCTCATAATACCAGGTTTTGATCCCTCCTTTCCAGCCTAACCCGTGGAAATAAATCCCACAATGTATCAGGGGGATATGGCAGGTTCTTTTCTGTTAACACAATGCTTTTTATCTCTTCTAGAAAAAGATTCTGGTGACTTTAAATGCTGAATGTTGAGGATTTCCCAGATGTCCAGACTTGGGAAGCTGCTGAGGTGGATTATTAATTTTTACTGTGTTTATGCTTTCACTGCCTGCAATGTTTGGCCACGGTTCTGCCATTTTCTCAGCTTGATTTGCATTGAGCCTTTACAGTGGGATGCAACCCAGGAATAAAAGAAATTAATGAAGAGATATCCCAGATCTGTGAAATCACTCAGTATCACAAAGCCAAGTGAAATAAGTTGTCCAGAGGCTAATCCCAAATCACACCAGCTGCTGGCTTAGGCCATGGAACTACACAATGCTTCACCAGGATTTACTGTCAAACACATGTTTTGGACCTTCCTTTTAAAATTTTCAAACCCCAAAGAATGATCAAGGCATTGGAATAACAGTAGATTTTTGTTCTCCGATTTTTTTTTAAAATCAATAAATCCATCAATTGCCAGAGAAAATGTAGGATGCCTCTGAGAGAAGAAGAAATGGTTGTCCTGCACCCCAAACACAGTCCTAAAATGCCCTGTGTCAGGTTTTGCTCCAATATGGAAGGAAGAAATTTGCCACAAGGATGAGAGTTTTCTCACTATTCTTTCCCATGGTCCAGAATGCCCAAAACATCCTCTGATGTGACAGAAACCTAGGACAAGTTATTCCTGAGGCCTGGCATGAGCCAGAGTAACTCAGCACTGGCCTGTAGAGCTGGTGGAATGTGGTCTGGCAAAGATAAAAGCAATCTGAACATACAAGAGAGTAATAACTACTCTGGTTTCAATCCAGCTTTTTCCCTTGTCCTGAAAGGGATCAAACCCACTTTCTCCTCCCTCTGTAGCCTGCTATATTCCTGTTATTGCTTAATAAATTGCAATTTTGGGCTGAGGCCAAAATGTTCTTTACATTTCATAAAAGGTGCAGCAAGCACATGTGAGTGGAGGATGGTGGTAGGTTTTCTGTGGGAATACTGGGAAAGAGCAGTTCCAGAAGTTGTCTGTTGTTAATGAAAGAAGGTATTTCTTGCTGAAGCCTCTGAGCCCAACTCCTGTGTGATGCAGAGCTATGAAAGTCAGCACTGATGGGTGGGAGGTATTGACTGGGGTGTCCCAGTCTCTCCAGATCTGGTTTGCCACTCCTGGTTGTCTCATTGTGGCATAGCCCTGTGGCTGCTCAGCCCATCTGGGACAGAGTATCATTCATTACCTGTCAACTTCAGCAGTTCTCCTCTGGGGGAGGATATGACTGACTCAAAATCACCCACAACCCCTCTGTGTGCACTGAGCACAGACAGCTGATTTTTTTCTTTTTAGCCAAGCTGAAATTTTGGATAATTTTAGTTACTTTATCAACTTGATCAAACATATGCAACGCAACATGGGGACTGTCCACAGTGTGCCTGGCATGAGCCTGCCTTGGTCAGTGGAGCTCCTGAAGTGGGGGCTGCCTCCTGCAGCTAGGATGGGATGGTTTGCTCTGATCAGCCTCTGCTGCTGGTTTCAGAAGGGTAGCTCTCTCTCCCAGCTCAGTTGAGGCCTCATTCACTTTCTTTCCCACCAGCAGCCTCCCCCAGCTGTTTCAGCTCAGACCTGGATGTCCATCCTGAGTTCACCCTGTCAGGTCCTTCTCCCAGTGCCAGCTACATTTTTCCTCAGTGGATGCCCACCAAGGTGGTCAGTGGGCTGCAGCACATAGGGTGCAGAGACAGGCTGAGAAATCTGGATCTGCTCAGTCTGGAGAATGAGAGTGAGAGCGATTTATGTCTCTCTGAGGAGTAGCTGTGAAGGTGGACACTTCCCAGAGGCTCACAGGGAAATGACCAGAGGTAACAGATGCAGGTTACAACAAAGGAAGTAACCTTTAGACAAAGACAAACATTATTCCCTGTGATACTGCTGTGATGCAGACACAGGGATGAGAGAAATCTTGGGTATTCTTCCAAACTGTATAGGGCTAGAGCAAGCTCTCTCGATTTTCAGTTAACCCTGCTGTGAGTTGATCTGCAAACCTCCTGGTGTCCTTCTCCACTTCAATTTTCCTGTGATTTACAGTGATAAACTGTTGTACTTCCTAGCCAGTTCATCTGGCTGGGCTCTAAGCTATCCCATGTATGCAAGTTTGCAGCTCAGGCTGTTCCATGCTGTTGCATTCTTTTCTGTCAGGCCTGTCATGATACCACAGGAATCTTGATGAGCCAGAACACCTTTTCTTGTAAAACCTCTTCTCTTGTCATTACAAGCACTTCTAGACATGCCTTTACTCATAAATTGGTCTGTGAAGCGAATCTGTGCCTTGTAAAACTGAGGGTTATATAGATTCATCGTGGAGCTGCAGCCAGAGCATCATAAACAGTTTCCCAAGTCTTGATGATCTTTCTCTAATATATTTATCCTGGAATCCCTCTGTAGGTTTTAATATCAATGTTAATGCCTCTAAGTGAGAAGTAAGGATGAATTCCCTTTTGACCTGTTCACACTTTGGAGGCTGGTGACTGATGCTGTCCTTGGCCAGACCCAGCACTGCCCTTTGATAACTTATCATAGAAACATGGAATATCCTGAGTTGGAAAGTCCAACTTCTGGCCCTGCACAGACTCCCCGGCAATCCCACCCTGTGCCTGAGAGCACTGCCCCAACACTCCTGGAACTCTGGCAGCCTTGGGGCCATGTCCATTCCCTGAGGAGCCTGTTCAGTGCCCCAGCACCCTCTCAATAACCTTTCCTGATATCCAACTAAACCCCCCAACACAGCTCCAGCTGTTCCCTCGGGTCCTGTCCATGGTTACCAGAGAAGAGATTGGTGTCAGCCCCTCTGCTTGTTCCAATCTGTTTCAGAGTGGATATTTATCCCAGCAATTTTCAGTGGGAATCACTCCCATTTCAAAATCCAGTCTCATATTTTGTGTTGGAACCATTGCTTTGCATTTGGAAGTCACTTGCAATCTTCAGCTTCACCAACTCCTCTCTCTCACACATTGCTGTGCTGACAACAGTCCATCCTCTTCTGAGCCTTCATGTGGTGAATAAGACAATTTTCTTGGCCTTTTCCCACCACATTTTCTCACAAAGGATCACTTTCCCTGCCTCCCCTCTCTCTCTTCTGGCCAATGTGTGGCTGAGCAGATCCGGGGAGTGGGAGAGTCATTAAAACTTGGTGACAAAAGCTCATGGTGTGACCAAGTCCCTCGTCTCCCTATCTCAGATTCACTTAAATTGAGCCAGGTCCTGGAAAAGGTGCAAAGACCCAGGGGCAGAAGGGAGTCAACTGGGCATGGCCACACTTGGTCTGGAGACTGGGATCTTCATTAGAGCTGCAGCTTCTGGAAACACCTTGCAGGTTAGGCAAGAACCAACTTTTCTGAAATGGGAGCAGGATGGATCCAGGCACTGGGGATCCTTGCAACAGGAGAAAATGACAGCTCTGGACTTTGGTATCTGTGGGTTTGGAGCCTGAATGTTGTGCTAGATCTGAGCTGCCTGTCTGTCTATGGTGAATTGGGAATGCCCTTGGCTTTCTCCATACTCATCAGAGACACTTATCAGCTGCTGGAATCAAAGACCTCCTTACTCTGCACAACTCCCTGACAGGAGGGGGCAGCCAGGGGGAATTTGGGCTCTGCTCCCAGGGAACAGGGACAGGAGGAGAGGGAATGGCCTCAAGTTACACCAGGGGAGGTTCAGGTTGGACATCAGGAGGAATTTCTTCTTGGAAAGAGTTGTCAGACACTGGAAGGGGCTGCCCAGGGCAGTGGTGGAGTCCCCATCCCTGGAGCTGTCCAAGGAAGGACTGGTCACGGCACTCAGTGGCCTGGGCTGGTGACAAGGTAGGTGGACCAGTCACAGGTTGGACTCAAAGATCCTGGAGGTATTTTCCAACCTCAATGTTTCTGTGAAGTCATTGAAAATTGCTGACAGTGACTTAAAATAAACCTTTTCAGTGGTTTGTGAACTGTTGGGTGTTGTAGTGTGTTTTCTTTAGTTTTATTGGTATGCTCACTGTTCAATTTGTGATTTTGCAATCCCCTTATGCCACTCCCTACCAAGTTTTAAACCCCCACCTTCCCAGTTGTTAATCCCTCCCATCCCTGCCCTTTTTCCCCCGAATCCCCCTTGCTCTCAACTCCCACTGGGTGTCAATTCTCCCCTGAACCTTCCCTCTCTTCTGGAGAATTCCCTATTTTGTGTCCTTTGGAACCCTATTAGTTTACCCAAGTTATTCCCCTCCCTAGTTGCTCCTTTATTGGTTCAAGTGTAAAATACCCTGCCATCAACCCCCCCCAACCATACCCCTATCGGTTTGCTACCCCAAACCGCTCCTCCCGAGCGAGGTATGAAAGCTCTTGCTAGCCCCAAGTCTTGGTCTTGGGTGCTGATCATGAAATAAAGCCACTCCCATTTCACCCCAAGACCCACAAAGGCTGCTGCCTTTGTTCCTGTGCAGCACCACCGCTGGTAGCTGGGATTCTGCGGAGCTGGCAAGGGGGTCTGTGGCACCCCATTGTCACCGAGCCAGGACATAGTCCTCACCACAACAGCTGGGAACTTGCAGACTTCCTTGTACCTGATATTCTGGGTGGGTTTCTACGTGCAGAGTTGTGTCAAAGGTTTCCTCTACAGCAGGAGCCTCATAACAGCACCCTGGTTTGAAAACCACTGCCATTAGTGCAGGACAGCCATTCCACTCCTTTCACTGGCATTGCATTTTAGGAACCTCTTTCTGGTAGGTCAGGATGAACCAGTTGTGCATCAAATTAACCTTCTCCCAGTTGCAAAAGGCCACAATTTTGTACAGATGAGGTACAGGAAAGGTTGACAGACATAGAAAGGGAACAGTTTGCTGGATCAAATCGTGGAGAAGCAGAACAAAGCCATGGTTTTTCTCTAAGCACTGGCTCCCCCAGGGACCTGGTCTCTACAAGCAGCAGTTCAGAGTGTGCCAGTGTGCACACATGGGGCTCTTGTAGTATCCATGTGCTGGTGCAGGGACAGTTCAGATGCTGTGGAGAAGCTCTTTGCTTTGGCTGCCTCTCCTGTGGTTGCAGAGAAGCCTTGGAAGAGCTCAGAGGTGAGGTTGCAGTCACCTCTCTTCAGTTTTCCAATGAAAATCAGGAGAAGAAGGGTCCGTGGCTAAGCCAGAGGACCAGGGAGCACAGGCAATGCCTTTCTATATAATTATGTCTTTCCTCAGTTTCTTCAGGAAGTGTCACTGAGTCTTGCCCATTTTACTGTTCTGAAGGATTTGACTTTGGTCTTTAGGTTTTAGATGATGATCATTGTGGTATTATGGGTCCTTGGGCTATTCCCTTTTGATAATCTGCAGCTCTCAGACCTGGCTGGAATTGAGAGTCATTGCTCCTTTGAAGTGCCAGCTGCTAGAGCAAGGCCTGGTGTGCAGATGATGAATCATGAAACATTTGCTTTTCAGCCCAGTCACTCTGGCTACTGCAAGTTCCTTTTCATGCAGTTGTTTTAGGAGATGAAATGCAGTTGGAGCAGTCCCAGGTTATACCTGCATTTTCCTGATTTACTCCTTGCTTATGCAGATGCTGTCTGAACATGCACCTGCCTCTTGCCAGGAAAACATTGGGAGTCACTGCTCTTGCTTTATCTTTTTGTCTAGACTTGTGGCACTTTTCCCTCTTTTCCCACTGTGCATGCAGAATGTCCAGCTGCTCAGCTTGGTCCCTCCAGTGCCTGGATGTGTAGAGCAGGGTCTGACTGATCAGATCACAGTTCTTCTCTTTCTCCCCTGAAAATACTGATTTCTGATTTCCTGGACATCTTGCAGCCAGTTCGCTTGGTGAAGATCAGTGTTTGCACAAAGTGAGACAGCCTGGGGTCATAGAATCATGGAATCATGGAATGGTTTGGGCTGGAATGGACCTAAATCCAGTTCCACCCCTGCCATGGGCAGGGACATCTTCCGCTATCCCAGGTAGTTCCACGCCCCAACCTGGTATTGGACACTTCCAGAGACAAGGCAGCCACAGCCTCTCTGGGCAGGGTTTGTGCTGTCCAATACAGCCTGCTCTTCCCCACTAAAGATTGTCTTAAAATTCCTCAGGGTTTCTCTTCCCAGAGCCCCCTGAAGGGTCTCTCCAAGCACTGCCAGCCCCACAGCCCCTGCACACAGACGGCTTTGGGGCTGTGTTTGCCCTGTTGCCATCCAGCTCTCCCGAAGCTCTTGCAGTGCATTGCTAAACTGGCTTCCCACGGTGAGTGCAGCTCCCAGCAGAGAGCACAGCCTGGCTGAAGCCTCACTCCCAAACCTCATTCCAGCTTTGCACCACCCACACAGAGCTGATGGAGGGAGTCTCACCTCTGCTCCACATCACCAGCTGCTTGTGACTCGTTCACTGCTCTGCTCAACACACTCTGGGCTGGAAGGATGGAGCTTTTCCTCCTTCACTACCCCTTTACCTGTCTGCTCATTGCCTTTCTAGTCCTCTACCAGGTGAAACCTGCATTCAGATTCTTCTGCAAGATGACCTTCTATAAGTTGTGGCTCTTCACCATAAGCATTGGGGTTGCCATCCTCAGTATTCCTCGTGGACGTAACGTGGACAACATGATGTAAGTTGTCTGTGGCTCCTTTCTGCCCTGAGCATTGATAGAGCCCACTCTATCCAATGCTTTGATTTGGAGGGTCCTGGGGGTATGCTGTGGTGGGGAGGGATTGGTTTTATATTGATCTGGGGAGATGACAGACTATGTAATTCAGAGAAGGGGTATGGGTTTTAATACTAATTTGGGGTTGATAAAAAGAATAACAAATTATGGAAAGAAAGGATGTAAAACGTGCCAAAGCAGGTAATGCCAACAATCTGGATGTAATACATATTGCTATTTTTACTACAGCTCTTTCATCTGGGCTTTGGAGGTGTATTTCCCTCTTCCCCATGGCTGAGCACTCTATTACTAACTTGTGTTGAGAAAGCCTCTCCAGGCTCTTCCCATTCTCTACTCTGAGCCAGTGCACACTTGAGACATCACCACAGTGCAGTGCTGGCCCCTTCATGGGCTCTGGTTCCCATCAGCTCAGTGACAGCTTGGTGTCCCAGGTCTGGCAGTCCCCCAGCCCATCCCACAGTTGTCCATCCTGCCTCTCCAGATTCTAGGCAGACTCTCCAAGATGTGGTCTCACCTGGAGGCTGCATGGGCTGTTCAGGAGTGATCAGTAGTGGCAATCAGGAACCTGGGCTGAGTGGGATGAAAAGATGACTCTGCTACACAGCACCACAGTGCTTGAACCCTCCTGAAGTGGTGCAGAAGCAGGATTTGCTATTCCATTTTATGCTTCAGTGGAAATTCATATCTCCTAACTGAGCATCAGCCTTTTGCTTTGAGAAATTTTGTTCACCTCTTAACTTTGGTGCCTATTTTTTTCCGGATGTTATTTTAGCAATATCTCTTCAAATAGGACTCCCAGCATTGCAGCCTAATGTCACCTAAAGGCAAATCCCTCTCTTTCCACAGCCAGCAGGGTTAGGCACAGGTTTACTGCAGCCCGTATTCCCAACCCAGCAAGGTGGGGAAGAAAGCAGAGTACAAAGGTGTGCTGTGAATCTGAATATTATCTAATATTTGGTTGATCTATGGAACTTCTGAAGCTGTAGTTGCTGGGTCATTGGTCATGTATGGCTTGAGGGAAACCTGCAAGGTGTAGTTGTCTTCTGTAATTAAATAATTAGCTGCAGAGGGACACTAATTGTTCTCCGAGTCATGGTCAAAGCTGTGTCAGTTGCAAACCAGCAGAAGCAGAGTGTGAGGTGGGCTGGTTTGGATGCAAATTTTGGCCCCAAATTTCAGCATCTCTTTGGCTAATCTCCACTCCTCTTTTCCAGGTTTTTGCGCATATTGACCATGCCACTCAAATACATCTTTGGCATTCAGATACTGGTGAAGGGCAAGGAGAACCTCAGGACCAAGAAACCTTTTGTCCTGGTGCTGAATCACCAGACCTCCCTTGACATCCTGGGTATGTGGTGATCCTGTCTCCTGCTCCAGGCAGGCAGAAAGGGAGGGGTGGCTGCTACAGAGCCCTTCACCAGCCAGCCCCAAGCCAGGGCTGGTCTCCAGGGTATCAGAGGCATTTTCAAGCTACATCAGCTTCAGCCTCTCCAAGGGAATGGGGACAAGGCTCTCAGCTGACCACAGCCCTCTCATAGCTGCTCTCCTTAAGTGCCAGTCCTGAGTGGAAGGTCAGGAGACCCCCAAAATTCCCCAGGGATTCTATGAAGCTTCAGGCATGGCACCCCCTGGAGCACAGGGCTGTTGCCTAGAATCTAGAGGGACCCTGAGTGCAGATGATGATTTGTTCTGCCCTTGCTGTCCCCTTGCAGTGATGATGGAGATATTGCCAAGGCGCTGCGTGCCCATTGCAAAGAAGGAGATCCTGTACATGGGCACATTTGGCCTGGCCTGCTGGCTCGCAGGTGTCATCTTCATCGACCGCAAGAGGAGGGAAGAGTCCATTGGCACCCTGACAGAGGTGGCACACTCCCTGCACAGGGACAACGTGAGTGGGGAGGAGTCCACTGAGGAGCTGCTGGAAAACAGGAATCTGAATGTGGGTGGAAAGAGATCTTTGTCTGTGGGCTGGGCACTGAGCAGAACAGAGTGAGAGCATCAGTGTGTTCTGTGCCCATGAATGGAGGTCAGGGGTACAGAGATGAGCCCCAGGGCACCATCCCTCTGCAGTGGCTTAGAATTGTACCTGGAAGTCCTTCCACCCTAATGTCTTCTCCCTCCTGCAGTTGCGTGTCTTGATCTTCCCTGAAGGAACTCGCAACCATGGTGGCTCCATGCTGCCCTTCAAACGTGGGGCCTTCCAGCTGGCTGTGAAAGCCCAGGTGAGACCCACCTTCCTTCTGCCCTGGAGTGCAATTTGCCTCCTGTGGTCCACCACCAAACGAGGGTACTGGTCCCTGGCTTCCCTATGAATTGCACACATATCCAGGAGCCCCTTGGGGCTTGCAGGTGGCACAGGAGGGGTCTGTTTCAGAAACAGAGAGACAAGTGGAAAACCTTTGTTACAGCTTGGGATAAAAGTGGGGGGGGACCTTGGCATGAGCCCTAGACCTCCACAGGGAAGTTTCTGCTGAGCTGGCCTCTCTAGATAGCAATTTGACAATCCATTTTTGTTGGCCTAAAAACAGAGATGAAAATACAAAATCCAATGGCGAGGACATGGGGTGATACAGTTAAATGATCTAAATATTCAAATAATCCTCCAAGTGTCTGCTGTGACACTGATGGTGATAATTATCAGCAAGGTGTAGAATTCAGCTAAAAACATTAGCTGAATTTTGGAGAAAGGATAAGGAGATGCACATATTCACTGCAGACTGCCTCTCCTCCAGGTGCCCATTATTCCTGTCGTGTTGTCTTCCTACAACAACTTCTACAACCAGAAGGAGAAGAAATTTACACCAGGTGAGGAGGACCTGGGGCAAAGAATGGTCTGGGTGGTGGTGCAGGCTCAGTCTTTGGAGCCATGACTGGGGTGGACAGAGGACCACCTGTAGTATGGAGATGGCACCCAGAAAACACCCGTTTCTGTCTTCTTGGGAAGAAATGGGACATTTCAGGCATCACTTTTTCCTCTCCCCTTGGATTTCTCACTGCTTGTCCAATACCTGTCCAAGAGAACTTGGAGAAACAGCAGAGTCCTGGGGCAGGTCCTGCCCCTGACCATCCCTCCCCACCCCCCAACTGTCCTTGGATCTGCAGGTGCATGGAGAGTTAGGAAACATTTATGGTAACAAAAATTTCCACTGGCCACTGATAAAATTTTAGGGGAAAGAATAACACAGGTCTTGGACTTCAGAGGGAAAATGCAGGAAAAAAATGGTACAAATGCCAATAGAAAAAAGTAAGCCATCATGTTCCTTCTCTCCCTTAGCTGCCACCCACCTTAAAATGGACTTCTGCCACTTGCCACTCTTTTCCAGGCCAGCCCTGGTGTTCCCTGAGGAGAGGATCTGCCTCTGAAATTCTCATTCCTCCCATTGCTGTGCCTGGGTGTAGTCATTCCCTTGCAGGCAGACACCTGGAAAGAGAGAGTGGTATAAATGATAAATATGGAATTGCCTGTTTCCAATCATCTTTCACCTGCTGGGTTTATCCTCTCCCTGTTCACACACAAAAGTCTTTTGGATCTGGAAGTGTCTCCCCACTTGAGGGACCATGACCAGGGATTCTGCCAGACTGTTCCCCTCCCTTCACATTTGTGCTCTGGGAAATCAGAGAATAACCTCCCGGGGAGGGATCTTATAAAAAGCTGCATATTTTGCTTTAAGCAAGGCCAGGTCTAAAGACAGATGAGTTAGCTTTGTGACCAGTCCAGAAAATGTTGTATTAACTCTGAGGATGGAGATGCCATGAATTTCCTGAGCTATTTAGGAAAGACTTTTTGCAATTACATGTATATTTGCCTCTATACAACTCCAGTCACCCTGAGAATTCATGGTTAGCTAATTCCATGCTCAGCAGATCTCTGAGCCATTTTCCAAATGGCTGTAAAACAGTCAGGACCTGAACTGCTGAAGAGAGAACCCTAGTTAGCTTTCCTTGTACTTTCCCACTTTCCCCATCTAGAAGTTTTGCCAGAGCTGATTCTGAAGATGGTGGTCAAGATTCCTACACACCGAGCAGGTCCATGGGTCAGGACAGCTCCCTGTGCCCACCGTGGCTCTGGGTGTGCTGAGGAGCCTCTCAGAAGCCCGACTCTGTGCCTGGTGTTGGACACTGTCATTCATGGAACATGCCCAGTGCTTGCTGGAAGTCTGTTCCCAAGAGACCTGAATTTTCAGCACAGCCTTGTAATCACTCTGCTCTTTCAGCAGGAACAAGTGAAGTGGGGTACCAGCCTGGCTTTGGGTGTAAGATGTGCAGGCAGGTAACACAGCATCATGGAATCACAGAAGGGTTTAGGTTGGAAGGGACTTGAAGCTCATTTCATTACACCCCTTACCATGGGCAAGGACATCTTCCATTAGACCAGATTGCTCCAAGCCCCATCCAACATGACAAACCCTTTTCTTTTGTGAAGTTCTTCTCTATGCTTGTTTTGCCTCCTTCCCACAGCTCTGCCGCCGACACTGCTGGATCTCATTCCAGGGACACGTGTTAAGTCATGCAAGAACATTATAACACATCACAGCCTCTCCCCAGATCCCCAGGTTCCCATCTGTGCAGGCACTGTCTTGTCTGCACTGGCCCAAAATAGGGAACTCTTGGTGCCAGAACAGAAGAGCATGATGGCAGCTGCCCAGTATGTTCTTCCAGTTTACAACAGTCCATTGCTTAGGTGCTTCCCCAGAGAAATCTAACCCACCAGGGAAACCTGGCCACAATTTCTCTCATCCCAAAGTGTGTTTCTAGAAGGAGGGACCGTGCTACATTTGGTGTACATAGACAGAGCACAGCCAGTTTGGATGTGTTGTATTAAACATCTTCTCTTTGCCCGTGACCTAGACAGACCCTGCAATCTTTCCACTGTGAAAAACCATCCTGTATGAAACTATATGAAATCCATCCTATATTGCATTGTGCTGGAGGAGAGATTCCCCTCTTTCCATATTTATGATTTCTGTGCTCTCAGTGGATTGGAAAAGCTCAGGTTGGGTTTTTGCTGTGTACATTTGGGATGTGGCTGGGCTCCCACACCACTGGTGTGGGAATGAGAGCATTTCCTTGGTTGGCACCAACCCTCCTGCTGTACCGCCTCTGGCTCTTCTATACCACTCATGGGGCTTTTTTCCTTGTCTCACCTTCTTCCAGGAAAGATGATCATCCAGATCCTGCCAGAAGTGGATACGCTGGGCCTGGGCCCAGAGGATGTTGCCAAGCTGACGGAGCAGGTCCGTGACTCCATGCTTTCCACCTACCAGGGGATATCAGGAATGACAAATGGAGCTTCCCATTAGCGATTGTAGAGATCCCATCTTCCAGCTCCAGCTGTGTGTGCCACAGTGGAGGGGAGGCCATGACAACCACAGGAAGGTCTGTCAGCAGACACAACTGTGGATTGCAATGCTGACAAACCAGAGACAGGCAAAACATCCACCAAGAAGAGAAGCTTCCAATGGGAATGTTCTTGTGTTCCTCCTAGAGAACTGTGCCATTCAGTGAGACAGACACACAATGGACAGCTGGACACTTCTGTGTAATCATATTGCTGAGAATGTCCCACCAGCTGGACCCCAGGCAGAGCTGGGCCCTTCCTGTGATCATCACTGCCTGCTTATAACCACCTTTCCCTGTTCAGATCCAACAAGGCAGAGGCATTGATCCCAAGCCTGTGACCATGCTGCCTGGGAAGTGGCTGCCTTGGGCTTTGAGGGTTGCCACATTTCCCTGGAATACACTCAGGAGAAGGTGCTGTTTTCTTCCTCTTCCATGGGGAGGATTTGGGAGATACCTCTGCCAAAGCAGCTTTGGGAGAGGAGAATTAAAGACCTTACATGTGTCTACAGGGCCTGGTGGTTTCTTTGGCATATTTAGCCTTCCTTTTAAGCTGTGCAAGATTTTACTTTCGGGGCTGAGCACATCTTGAAAGTGCAAGAGGGACATGTCTGGGGGCTCAGAAACCAGAGGCAAATTGCAGGAGTATGCTGCCTAATATCCTTGCTATGCCCAGATGGAATCATCATCCCTGGAACTGTTGAAAAGATGTGTGTATCTGGTGCTTAGGGACATGGTTTAGTGGTTGCCCTGGCTGTGCTGGGTTAATGGACTCGATCTTGGAGTGCTTTTTCAGCCTTACTGATTCTGCAGTTCTGTTATGATTCTATGATAACCTCATGATTTTTAGCACAACCTTTATATCTTTCAACTCAAACACACTCTGGGAGCTTCAGCTCCTGATTTCTGAGTCCAGCCTTCTGTCTTCTCTGTCAGAGGATGCCCACCAGCCACGATGTGATTTGCTTTTTTGTGCTGGTACGAGTAGCCATGAACCATAGCCAAAGACTGTTTTGGACACAGGTCTGACTTACACAGAATCACACACAAATTCACAGAATCATTTAGGTTGGAAAAGCTCTCTAGGATCATCGAGTCCAACCTGTGACTGGTCCTTACCTTCTCAACCAGCCCAGAGCACTGAGTGCCACATCCAGTCCTTCCTTGGGCACCTCCAGGGACGGGGACTCTACCACCTCCCTGGGCCCCTTCCAGGGCTTGACCACCCTTTCCAAGAAGAAATTCCTCCTGATGTCCACCCTGAGCCTCCCCTGGCCCAGCCTGAGGCCATTCCCTCTCCTCCTGTCCCTGTTCCCCGGGAGCACAGCCGACCCCCCGGCTGTCCCCTCCTGTCAGGAGTTGTGCAGAGCCACAAGGGCCCCCTGAGCCTCCTTTTCTCCAGGCTGAGCCCCTTCCCAGCTCCCTCAGCTGCTCCTGGGCTCCAGACCCTTCCCAGATCCATCACCTTCTCTGGACATGCTCCAGCCTTTCAATGTCTTTCTTGCAGTGAGAGGCCCAAAACTGAATGCAAATTTGAGGTGGGGCCTCAGCAGTGCCAGCACATGGGGACAGGCACTGCTGGTCACAGTGTGTCTGGCACAGCCCAGGTGCCATTGGACTCTTGCCCACCTGGGCACACTTGGGCTCTTCTTCAGCCACTGTCAACCAACTCCCCCAGGCCCTTTTCTGATGGAAAGATTTCCAACCCCTCTTCCCCCAGCCTGTCATTAATGCCAACTGTAGGTGAGTGCACAAGGATGTGTTTTATTACTGCCCAGAATACCCAAACCACACAGATTGACTGTAGGATTTAAATAAAACTTGTTTCAAGGCTTCAAGATGCAGCTGCTATGCTTCAGTGACTTCAAAGGCTGAAATCTCACTGCTGATTAGAAGCAGCCTAAACAGCTCTTGTGCAAAACCAGGAGATTGGGAAAGTTTTGGTGAAGATTACATGAATGTGCTAATTTCTGAGCAGGTAAAAGAATAAGGAGTTTGATTTTGCAATGCAAGCATGCCAGCCGGCGGGTTTGACACCCATTCAGGATGGGAAGTAAAAAAAATTGTCATAATTACACTTTTAGAGAGTCAGAAAGCCTCCGATCAGTTCTTTAGGGCAACAGAAAATAAAATATCATTGCCCTTTCATCTGAAGACTTACATTACTGGAAGTTTTTTGAAAGAAATGATATCTTTAAAAAATCCCATTACAGGAAATAGAACAGATTACATAGTCTTGAGCTCCCCTCTGGGAAACCATGTGCTGATGTTCAGTCAACAGCAGCCAGTGGAGCCTGATGTCCAGGCAGAAGTTTCCCAGGAGCAGCTCAGTGCCACCATTAGGGGTTTCCAACGCTGGTCTGATGAGTAGGATTAGAAACTGTCAATAAAGCAAGAAAAAGCTGCTGAGAGGCACAAAGTGTTTTCTGAACACACCATTTTTGTCCACCTTTTTCTCATCCCTGTATCCTTGCACCTCTGAGACACCATGGTGCTTCCAGCCTTAGAATGAGTGGTTTGGGGGAGAATTTCTTGACATTTCAAAAGGTTCAACTTCTAGCAACTGCTTTTAGCCCTGGAATTTAACTCTTTCTGGGTTACACAAACACTTTGACTTCCCTCAAGCCTGGTGAGAAAAGAGCCACAGGAAGAAACTCCACACATTTTAGTGACCATAAGAATATGATTAAAAAAGAAATGAAAAAAACTCTGTTGTATAGAGAGCAGGTAAGTTGGACTCAGGTCACAAAGAATGGGTGAAGCCACCACAATTTAGCCTTTAAGTGCAAATATCTGTCTTAAACAACAGTGTTTTCCTCAAATAGTTACTCAAACTCAATACAGGAACTGCAGGGATATGCTTTGTGGTCTGTGCCTTGCAGAAAGACAGTGTAGGTGATCCCCAGGTATTGTGATCATCTATAAATGGGTTGTCAGAAGGAAAAATAATCCAGTCCAGTCCATTCTTCAAGTCTCTGTTCTCCCACATAATTTCAGTTGGGAGACCCCTAGTCAAAAGTGTTTCAGTAGGACACTGAGTGTCCACATCTCTGACAAAGACATTGTTTTACTGTGGCACATCATAACCTTGATCATGTGTGTTCAGCTATTGGTGTGTGAGGCCATACAGTGTCAAAACTACTCCAGATATACCTTAAACTGATTTAAAGCTTTGGGGAAGATGAGGAGAGAGCAGGAACTTGGAGCAGCACAGTAAGACTTTGGAGCAGGTTGGCTAATTCTAGTTGCTTTTTCATCATCACCTCTCCTGTCAGAAAAGACTATGGAATAAGGTCTTTAGAGGGCACATTCCCAAGGTCCAAAACAGGCTGGATTTTGAGGGATTTCCCATCTGCTTGAAAGGAAGAGGCAGGGAATAAGGTATGATAAAAGTGATGGATTGCCTGGAAACCCAGTTAACAGCACCTCTGCCTCAAGTGCTGTCTGAGTGTAGCTAAATGGACAGTCATCACCTCTTTCCACAGAATCGCTGTGCAAACCTTAGTTCTTTCATTTCTTTAGGTGTAGAAGAGACCTTATAGTGCATTTATTATTTTTGACAGATCTTAGACCACTGGTACCTTTTGTGGCATTCTCAGGCTCATCTTTCCAGGATGAGAGGTCAAGCAAGTCAATCTCTTGGCAATCAGTGAAGTCCTCAGGATAAGTGTTGATCTTGAATACATCCCTGGGTATCTTTTTGATATGAGTATTGTCACAGATCACCCTTGACACTGAGATTTTTCTCAATGCTTGCAACTGTTGTGGAGTGAAAACTCCTGGGTTTTCCCACCAGAATCTGCAATGAAATTTTCAGAAGCAGTTTATAATCTCTACTTACTTGCTGAGATGGGAACCTGACCAAGGTGAGTCTGAATGGTGCTTAATCCACCTTCCCTAGGAACACCTCTTTAGAAAGAGGTGTCTGCAGTGTGGCCAGATCTGCATTCTGACAGTGCAGAGAGCCTGTCTCTTCCACACAGCATCAGCAGACTGCTGGGATGCAGGGATTTACGCCCTGGGAGCAAAAGTCACCTCAGGCAGAGGCCACAGCAGATCCCCCATGATCTGGAGGTGGTACTCCTCAGCCACATTAATCTAGAGGAACAGGCTGAAAAAAACAGTCCTTTGGCCACTGGGCTAAAATGAAGGGATGAGCCTTGCTGGGAGCACTCACTGGAGTGCTGTAAATGGGCTGGCTTAGTGTGTCACAGGAAATGTCAGCATTTTCCCCCTGAAATGCCACAGGGAATGTATCTCTCACCTGTCCCCATCACGCAGGTTCCTGAACTGGGTGCCAATAATGCAGGACAGGAGGGGCCCGACTCTGCCCTGGGGAACCACGGGCTCTGCAACTGCCCCAATCCAGAGGTCAATGTTGTACGGTGTCCCATACACATTCATGAACTTCTTGGCCAGTTTGGGATTGCCCAGCACATCAGATAATTCTTCTATAGTTTGGGGTTGGGAGAGCCCACAGAAGCCCCTCCAGGCATTGTAACCTGCAAAAGCAGGAGCAGCAGATGACCAGGACCCACTATCACATCTCCACAGCACCTTCCTTGGCCCATGAGAACTGCCTGCTTCTTCTCATGGTAGTAAAGGATCTGGAAGGCACTATTGTCTGAGCAGTCCCAACAAATGTCACATTTTCAAAGGTCCTTCTCATATGTACACTAAACGAACAGTTTGGGTTGTCTTTGTGACTACACCTCATCACGTTGGTTAAATCTTTCTCCTGCTGTGGGTGAATGCATCAGTCCTTGCAGCTTTGGGAGGCAAAATTTCTAGGATCAAATTCTTAGAAAAGAGGAAATTTGGTTGTGTTTAACCCAAGAGCACTCATTTTTTTCTGGCACCTGGGGCAGTCCCACGTGTGGGTGCAAGTCACTTCTGCTCAGAACTCTGGCTTGTCTGGGACACAAGACAAGATTGACGGGCAAATAACAAAGCCCAGGGGATG